TACCTGTATCCTTGTGCTTGTTTGTTCCTCTATGCCAGCCTCCAGCCTTTGTGTCATGCCAGTGATCCCTGTGACTCGAGAGCACCTTGAACCTCTTGTGTGACCCCTGTGACTCCAGAGCACCCTTATCACTCTGTTTGAACCATGTGACTCCAGAGCACTCTGTATGACCCCTGACTGCAGCGCACCAAGTATCCTGTGTGACCCCTATGATTCTAATGTATCTTGAGCATCCATGTCCCCGTGACCCCAGTACACCTTCACCATCCTGTGTCATCTGGTGACCACTGCACCCTGAGCATCCTGTATCATCATTTGACCCAGGAGCATTCTGTGTCATCTTGTGACCCCAGTGCACCCTGTACACCTCTGTGACAACTATGTCTCCACACAGTCTCTGGCATGCTCCGCAGTTGTCTGAGCCTGTAATGCTCCATTGTCAGTACTTTCTGCTGCCTCTCTACCCTCAAGAATGCTTCTGCAATCACCCAAACTGTCCTCTAAGTGGATACAGACCACTGTCTGTAATGGTTCTAATGATTCCCTGCTCTATCCAAAATAAAAGAAAACCATTTTGGCTATAGTGAACATGTATATTCCCTAAATTGGGCAAAATAATTTTTTTCTCACTATATAAAGAACAAAGTAGATGCATATACTTTCTGACTGCTCCTCTGCTGCTATCTTACTCTGTGGCCTTCCAGGGAAATACTCGCTACCTTTGGATTTTCAGGGAGACAGGATAAACCTGTTGCCCCTCCTAGAGGCCCTACCATTGTCCTGGGTAAGTGTGAACTGATGAACAAGCCGAAACTTACACTTAAACTTACAGTGGGCCAGTGGTGGACTGGGCAAGTGAGCAAGAAGACTGTAAGTACACGTACCTTATGTTGCATACAGTATAAAAATAAAACAGTTACTTTGCTCAGTATGGACAAAGGACAGGTTCACTTTAAATGTTGCAGACCAAAGGCTAAGTGACAATGTTGTTTTAAAACAGCAAAGCAAAAAATAGAACATTTCTCAGATACTCTATGTCTTAAAAGTAAAAATCAAACTTTACTGGAGTTTATACTGCATTTATTCTTGGAATGGTTCTGAAAAGTTAAGCATGCGCTGAATAGGACTTTCCTTGCCTATTTCTACAGTATATTGGTTAGACATAAATAACCCAGAACCATGAATTCATTTTAGATTGTTTTTCTCTCTATTTAAGGAAGCTCTGAGCCATAGGCACTAACCTAGGATGGCTGATTTGTAAATCACAGAATAAAACCAAAATACAACATAGACTTTTTTTTCTTTAAAATTCTTTTAAGCCATGTACTATTTCTGATTGCATACATGATAGGAGGGATGGTAAACTATATTTAGATTATTTAGTATATTATTTTGAAGCACAGCTGGATATTTTACACAGTGATTTCTTCTTTCGACTGGGGTCACTGCTCTTGTAGACCTGCAGGCTGTTAAGTATGTAATATAATCGCTAAGTGGATGAGAAGTCTCATCATTTTCCTGCTGTTAAAGTACTCAACAATCCCCCCTGTGTTTATCAGTTAAAATTTCCTTTACATTAATATTTAAAAGCTATGTGACTCACATTACCCAACCCCCCTTCCCCAAAGAAGAGGAAGAGGCAGTGAAGTTAGCTGGTTTCTGGAGAGATTTGTGGAAAACATTGGGGACCATGAGGGAACACACTAGTAACTCAGGTCTATGACCAGGGCCGAATTAAGAGCATCATGGGTTTGGTGCTGAGCACCCCCCAAGCACTCAGCATTGTCGTTCAGGCGGCCGCCTAATAAGGCTGATTAGAGAGCTGCCGGAGCCCTGGGCAAGTACAAGGATTTTTGCCTTGCACAGGCGAAGGTGTCAAACTTCCCTTGTTTGATAGGCTATTTTCCATTGGGGCCCTTCGTTGTCTCTATGCTAATTAAGAGGTCTGTCCACTTGAAATCTCAGAGATCTGATTAAAGAGATTCTCAGTTATGGATGAGGGGTATTTATTTGTAATTGGTATCTTATTGAGCAGGTCAAGGCATGTTTGCAAAAAAAAAAAAAGCTGCAGAAGATGTGACCAGATAAATAACACATATTTAAAGAATTTCTAGTGTGTAGTAAACCCCCACCCCAACAACTCCTGCCTATCCTTTAACTGCCCCTGACCCAGTGAGATACCGGCAATGCAGTTTGTGGGCACCCCAAAGCCACTTCTCAAAATCTTCCCAGCTAGGCTCTGCATTCTTCCTTTAATCCTAAACGTACGAAAGTACAATTATCCTTTAAGCCTTCAGCTTTAAGCCATGCTTTCATAAATTTCCACATTACCTCCTAACCCCCACCCATGTGTGCTGACTCATGCATATGCTAACAACAAGACTGGTTTTGATTTTGACGGCTGATGTCCGGATGTGTAAGAAAGAACCAACTAGAGCAATTACTGCTTAAATGATAGTAAAAGAAGAAGATGGTCCAGCACTTCACCAATCATCTAATAAAATGCAGAGTATTTGAAGATTGCACATAAAAGGTAAGCTGTGACCTTTTTGGACTTTGTATTTCACTTAACACTTTTACAACTTTCGACCGTGATTGTGGATTGAAACCATGTAACTACTTGTAACTATTTCTTTATAGTTTTAGTATTAGAGTTTGTTACTGCAGGTCACATTGTTGTTTTGTGGTCTTCTCTGTAACTTTAGCTGCTGTGGTTTTAATAAAGATTATTTTCTATGTAACCCCTGGTTAACTCTAGTTAATCCTAATTGCTCCAAATGAACTTAATCCCATCAGTTTAGGTTTATTTTCACAGTTTTTTTGTCAAAACACTGTTTTTTTAAACAATAGTTATATTTCATTTTTAAATATCTACAGAGCTTTTTTCACCACAGTGGTACCTACCCCAACTCCTGGAGCATAAAGGCCAAGATGAGTTTCCACTCCCTGACAGGGTCCATTAAGGACACTACTTTTAATAACTTTATTTTTGAAAAAAGAGCATGGATACAACATAGCAAAGGGAACGTAAAATACAAAATACAATTAGAATATGCATGGAAAATGCAATATCTGCATAATGATAGGTCACGAAAATAATAGCATGATATAATATTGTATAAAAACCATCAGGGCCCAATGCATAGGAATCTTGTATCCAAAATAATAGAGAAATTGGAATAAAAAGAAAAACATAAAATTGTTAACAACAAAGTTATTACATGGAAACACAAAATGATACATCTAGAAAAAAGAGGGGGGAATGTCCAATTCAAGGAAGCTCAATGAGAATGAGAAGGGAGATTATTATTATTATTATAATATAGGATTTATATAGCGCTTTACAATATAAGGAAGACATTACAATCACAATACAATTCAAGACAAGATGGTAAGGAGAACCCAGCCCCTGAGGGCTTACAATTGAAAAGGGAGGGAGAAGTGATACATGAGGAGGTAGCTGTGTGGGGATGAATTGTTTGAGAACATGATGGTTCAGTGGTTAGTAATGGGAAGGAAAAAAAAAAAGGGGAGAGAATGAATGAAAGTAAACAAAAAAACAGCAAAGAGTGGCTGCGCCCACTGCTTCTACTATGGGAGTTGTTTCCCCTGCTTGATACATATGTTTATATGTCTGAAAACTTGACAAATAAAAGAATAAAAAAAAAAAACAGCAAAGAAAAAAACAACAGGATGCCTCACAGATCGCTAATCAAAAAAGGTAATGTGCCGCCACCGGGTCTAATGGATGAAAGAATGAAACCCTGCTACCAGAAAAAGTAGGGAGAATCTAATTTCACATACACTGTACTGTCTATAATAGAGCCAAGAGGTCCAGCACATGTTGTATTGCTTTATCCAGTCTATTGAGATAGCTCTAGCTTCTTCCATTTTGGAAACCTTATCAACACTACTCCTCCATTCTGCAAAAGAAGGGGCAACACTCTATTTCCAATGTAAGGGGATCAGTATTTTCACCACATAGATAAATGGTCCCTATTGTTACAACTCAGAAGAAAGTCTCTGAGTTAAAGTTAAGACCAAAATGTGAGTGGACCTCTGAAATCTAGATCTGATTTAGGTTAGGATAGTACCGTTAATGAAGAAATCTTTAACTACTAGGGGGGAAGAGAAATCCCAACCTGTCAGAAAGTTGGAGTGCAGCCCAGGGCCAAAGGCTGGATTAACTAAAATAGGGAACTGAGTGAGGTAGTCAAGGTACCAAGCCTTTATATCTTATAAAACTCAGCGACCGTGGCAAAATGTAGCGGGGAGACTCCTCACAACACCGAAGGGAGCCTATCAGAGGTCCATAAAGTGGAAGTTAGGTGGTGGTTTATAATTTAACTTTTTAGTCTGACCCAATCCTTATTGGAGGCATTACATTTTCCTCTTTTTTGATCATGTGGCCTCATCATGAGATGAGGTCACATGATTGCATTCGCTCAACTCTGCTCTGCACAGCCAGGGGCAGAAGATGAGAAAAAGCAGCAAAAAACTTTGCCCCACCCACATACAGTAGTGTAGAGGAGAAGAAAATCAATCATGTAACCTGGTTAATAACCTATAAAAAATATAAATTTCTGTTACTTTTGTTGCTGTGATTATAGTGTAATTGTTTACTGTTAGTCTCCGTAAGCTTTATGCCTATTGTGATGTAGAAGGGCTTACATACACTTTAATCTTTTTAATCTTTCTTGTTTTATTAATGTTGTATTAATCATTTGAAAGATAGGCCTTACAAACATTGAAAAGAAGATGAAAATGTAACATTGACAAAACCTTTCTAATTATGCAAGGGGAAAATAAAAAAAAACAAGACAAAAATGACAAAGACAAGAGCTTATTATCTTTCATTAACTCTGCCAATTGCCAGGTATTAATGTTGATTAGCTAACATCATTAGCTTGCTGAATAAACCTCAAAATAAAATAAGTAACCTGTTCACCGAGTTAGTAATTAAAATGCAACAAAATCTCAATTTATAATCGTGTTCTTACCTTGCCAAAACTCCCTTTTCCGATAGCACGTAATATTTGAAAATGGTCAAAATCAACTGAAAGAGAAATGATCAAAAATATCAGGTCTAGAAAAATTCGGCTATATACCAATTATACAAGCATTTTATATTATACAAGTTCTTAAATAATGAAGAAGTACTAGAAAAGGGAACATAAAGCATATGTAGAAGGAATTCTATTTAATGCAATGCATGCAGGATTACTTACAATACAAGGGCAAATAGCAGTATATAAAATGTATTAACTGTACCAATCGATCAGTTACCATCCTTTATCATTCTAACTATTCTTAACACCTTCCCACTGGCATAATGCATATATGCATCACCCCACCTTGTTTTTCTTAAAGCCAACTGTGTATCACCCAGCCCACTGTTCTAGTTCACTAGTGTGCTCCTAACACATTGACTGAGCTTCACCAATGGCTCCTGGTCAATGTCTCTAAACCGGAGAAGCAGGATCAATTTGACAGCTAATCACAATGATCACACAATCATGAAGTCCACCTCCAACTCCTGGAATAAAGATCCCCTCGGAGGGCTATCCGGAGTCGGTGGCAAGGGGTTAAAAAGGAACTGAACTCTGGAAGCTATGTCCAAAAAAAGGCAAGAAGGGAGCATGGGATTAGTCGACAATAATGCCTGTGGTCTTTCTGCGACTGATCATTACTGCATTAAAGACTTGCCATGCCTTGTTCTGCACTGTCTTTGGGTTGAGGTGGCCATCTTGGTAGATGTAGGATTTTGCTTCCTCATGTCAGAACCTCCAGCAAGGAGACCTATCAGATTTCATCTTTCATTATTTAGAAAAGTTACATTAAAACTATGATTGGTTGCCATAAGACACCACACCAGTGCTGTCCCAGTTATTTTCCCTCCAATTCTTATAAATGACCCCTTAAGATACCGGTGCAGTCTTCATATAACAATACAGACTATCGTAGGCTTGTAGTACCGTACTTAAAGCAGTGAACCGTAATGGACAACTGATGCATTCAGACATATGTATGAATTCTAGTGACCAATCTACTTTAAGACCTTGCTAAAAGCAGACAAAAACCAAAGAAATATAAAAAGAGTTTATTAATAACATGTTACCAGATTTAATTGTTTTGTATCTTAGATTAGTGCAGCACATTTTAATTGAATTATAGTATAATTAGCAAAATATGACTGCTTGCCTCATGGCAATCTCCTCCCTTGTGCTCTCTCTGCAAACTTTTGTTATTGTTATTATCAACATCATCATCATTAATTGTGGTACTGTATAAAGTAAGGAAATACAGGGTGCAACACTGGCATTGCCCCTTTTACTACCGGAGCTTTTTTTCTTTCAGTTCATGCAAGCATGTTGCAATGCACATTTTACGCCTGGAAATTACTTAAAACCCTAAAAATATGATCTATTTTCTGAAAGCAGAGACCCTAGAGAATAAAATAGGGGTAGTTGCCATTTGTTTTCTGAGGAAGGGACCTTGAGTTGCCCCGAAACGTTGCAATGTGACAAGATGTGTTTACGACAATAAAAATCGCTCACGGTTTCTAAACTTAATTTCGGTGTGCTGGTGACATGTTGCTCTACCTGGATTAACAAGCGGCACCATCCGCAGTGACTACAGCATCCGCTTCAAGGGACATACCAGTAGGGAGTGCGGTGGGATTTTTCTGAAACTGCGATTTGTTTGTCACATGATATTAACACAATGGTTTATCAAACTCATATTTTCAATAAAAAATACAATAAAATTAATTTTAGAGAACATGGAACATATTACACATCTTTTGTCAAATATAAAGATGAAGTTGCATCAAATAAAGAGATACCAAACATGTCAAGCCTTAAAATTGTGTGTGTCTGTAAAACCCAAGATTTTATACTAAAAAAATGCCAGCAGGAAATGCTTTAAAAGCCTTAACAGGTCATCAATTTAGAGTTAACCATGAATGATGGCCCTAGAATTATTGTTCTCATTCCAGTGTGTATGTGTGTGGTGATACCTAACATGTGTCACATAGGGGCTGACAAGAAATTTCCATCTAAGACAGTTGTCACTGGAGCAAGTCTTCCTCTAGGAGGATTTTCTGTCATCTCTTGTTCTGGTGACACCTCGCAATTGTTGGATTTTCCCTCCCTTTCTGTTTCAGTGACAAGGGTTACCAGGGCATATACAGAGTGAATCTCTCCAGAGGATGCATGGGCAGCAAAAAAAAAAAAAACTTGGCAAAGTTTCCTACTCTGTCTAAAACATCAAAAACAATTTTTACTTCACATTCAATGACATAATAGTAAAGTCATACTTGATGTGTGATGGATCAAATGAAAAAAATACCTGTGTCTTTGCCTTTGCCTTCTAGGACTGTTGAATATCCTTTGACATACTGAAGGGAGTTGTAGAAAAAAAAGGGAAATCTAGGAGATGTGAGTAAAAAGTGGTGACGAGGGAGGAAGTGAGAATAAATCTGTGAACAAGAGAATAATTCCAGTTGAATCTATCTCTGGAGTTTAAAGGTAATATATAGTTTTTTTTAATATACCTTCTTTATTTTTTTCAAGCGGGAAGGGGTTGCTCACCCAGTGACATGGGAGCACTCTTCATGAAATGACTATTTTAAAATAAACATTTTATGCAAGTGATGAAAAATGACATGTATTATAAATGTATAAACTTGTAAATGTTAATAACTAAATTAAAATGAAAAATATATTAGTTTCCCTTGAAAGGGAGATGCAAGAAGTTGCCAGATTGCTCAGACCTTATCTAGAGCTTTCAACTGAATTCTGACCACTAAAGGAATCCAGTGCAGAGACTGACAGAAGGACAGTGTGGTGGAATAGAAGTGGAAATGTGACTCGGGCTGAAACAGCAGATTAAGCCTGCCAAGGGCAAGACTACAGGGAGGGAGTTACAGTAATCAAGGCTAAATATGGTGACAGCATGGTTATTATAATGGTGGTTATTATAATGGTGATTATCATGAGTAGGACTGCTGGAAGAATGCAAGAGATGTTTCTTAGCTGAAAGGGTTAGGCAGTTATTAGTGCATGAATGTGAAATTGAAAGGGGTGCCAGAGTCATAAAATCCTAAGCGGCAAGCTTGGGGCATTGGGGATACTGCAGTATTGTTTTCTCAACAATGATACAGTTGTTATGACAGAGAAAGAAGCAGATAGAGGAGGAAATGCAGAAGAAAAATGAACACTATTATCCATGCTATGTCTTGAATGGTGTAAGATAATGGAAGATAATAAAAGAAGAAAGAGCAGCAAGACGTGCTGGAAGAGGAAACAAAGGCTGATGATCTTATAGTTATAGGGATTAGATTAGGTTACTGTTTGGGTCAACGGTTAGGGTGAGGTTTAAAGTTGAAAACTTTGATTATGTTTCAAAACTTTTCAAATATTTTTTTACAAATAAATATTTAATAAATGACGGAGAGCACTATGGGTTAGGCAAAGAGACAGCACAGCTTTAATCCTCTCCTTTTACGTGGGTTGGTTCTCATTTATATCTTATCTGTTAAGTGTTGAGTCAGTCATTCAGTTCTGTGTACAAATTATACCTTGAGCTGCTGATCAACAACAGGATTTTTATCAACACATTCAATATTTTGCATTAACCTGGCAAGAATGTATTAAAAAAAAGTAAAGGGTACACAGCCACTATATTTTCCTTTTTAGACAAAAGTCATGCCATTGTTATAGGGGAACCTGCTGGGTTGGTTCAGCCCCTAGTTATATGGCTTGGATACTCTTACAGAGAGATCTTCATACCATAATTTCTATGTTCCTATCCACCTGAGAGTTTTGGATGTTCCTACCCACCTTTGCATGTTTCTGCACTTTCAGTCTCTAAGAATCAGGTGAGTATAACATTGTAATTTTTGAACCTAGAGAAAAACAAGCATTTAACATGTGCAGTGCGGGGGGTAGCCCCACTGCAAGGGTTAAGAAAATTTTCCCTGGAGTTTTGCTAAATGCAGATCCTTCACCATTAGAACCCCTGAGAAACCTTTGATGTTTTATTTCTTCATCATCTTCTGAAAACTGAAGAACCCATCTTAGTTGAAGTGACTCTTTGAGGGCCCAATCACACCATATCCAGTGCGTCCCGGTGCAGTTTTCGCCTGGAATGCAGTGGATCGCATATATGAAGCCAAGCTGCGTTCTGGGGTGAGAGGGGGCGTTTCGGTGCCATTCACAGTGCTGCATGCACTATTTTTTCAAATCGCACTGCACTGGAACAGAGGGCATTCCTGTACCTCGCATTCCAGTGCGGGTGAGGGGCGTGTCTGGGGTGCCATTGACATGAATGGCTCGCACACGCCCCTTCCCACCCCTGAACATGGCCGGCTTCATGTAAGTGATCCACTGTGTTCCGGGCGCAAACTGCACCAGGACGCTTTGGATATGGTGTGACTGGGCCTTAAGTCTACTGCCTGCTAAATTCTACCTGTACAGCTATTACTACCCCTTCAATAGAATCTGCTTTAGGATTACCTGGATGTTGAATGATATGCCTTTCTGTTACTGACCTTTGCTCGCCCTGCCCTTGAATTGCCAGGTTTCTGCCAAGTTTATTGCTAGAGATGTCATGCAGGATGTCTAGAACTGGCCTGTTTGTAGTAAGATTTATTTTGTAGTACTGTAATATGTCCTAAATATGTTTTCTACTTTTCAGGCAGCAAGGAAAAAACATATGTTATCTACACTGCCAAAGCAACACCAGCTGGTCAGCTTATTACAGCACAGTGTAGCCCTTCCTTGGAAACCCATTGCTTCTTTAGTGGGTTTCCATTGACAGGAAACAGATCAGTTCTCAGTGGGTTTCATAAGTTGGTCTGTGTACATGGTGCAGCTTGAACTAAATAACAATTGATTTTCTAAGCCAGGCTGTGTAAAGAAACCAGAGCAGCTGTTCAGATAGTGGTAGCCTCAAACAGCTAATGAGCAAGTCCTCTGCCAATTAGCAGCCAATTTGGGGAAAGTTTACCCTCCCTATTTTCATGCTTAAAGTGTGACTCATGCCAAGAGTAGG